GCCACTATAGGTCCGGAACCTATAATACCAATCCCCTTTGGCTACGTTCGTTCACTGGTACATAGATACTTCAATAATTTACACATTCAGACGTAGATTATTCGCCATAACAACTATTCGCGGCATTTCTGCTCAGGAGTGACAATACATCAGCTTTTTGATTCTTAATCGAAGATAAATGTAGATGTCTATGGGCTATAGCATCCACTTACTCATTAATCAAACATATTTTATAAAAAAAAAATCTGGAACTTAACGCTAATTTCAAGTGCAAATCACTCCAAATTTCACTAAATTATGTTGCGAAATCTCGAAGTTACGTTAAAATAAACGTTTTTTTTTCCAAATTCTTTCTTCGATATCTCATGAATGAATGAACCGATTTATATTTTTCAAACGGCAGACGACATCGTTTTTTTGAGGTTAAGAGCTGATTAGTTTTTGAAATCGATCGGTAGAGCCAAGAAAGAAAACAGTTTTTCAAAATTTTTATTTTTGAGATTTCTCAAAATCTACTCGTCCAAATCAGTTCATATTATCACCAAATCTATTCCACATCGAGATCTTTAGAACATCATCATCATCATCATCATTACAGCCCTTCACAAGTCCACTGCTGAACATAGGCCTCCCCCAAGTAATGCCACAAAGCACGGTCCCGAGTCACCTGCATCCATCGACTTCCTGCATGTCTTACCAGATCGTCACTCCATCTAGTGAGGGGTTGCCCTACACTACGCCTACCGGTACGAGGCTGCCACTCGAGAACCTTTCTTCCCCTTCGGTTATCGGTTCTTCGAGCTATATGGCCGGTCCATTGCCACTTCAGCTTACTAATCCCTTGGGCTATGTCGGTCACTCTAGTTTTACTGCGGATATCTTCATTTCTGAGTATCACGCAGAGAAATTTCGAGCATAGCCCTCTCCATAGCACGCTGAGCGACCTTGAGTGTCCTCATACGGCCAGCAGTGAAGGACCACGTCTCTGATCCGTAAGTCATCACTGGCAACACGCACTTTAGTTTTCAGAGATTGAGGTATACCTGACGAGAAGATGTGTCGTAATTTCCCGAACGCTGCCCAGCCGAGTTGAATCCGTCGATTGACCTCTCGGTCGAAGTTGGACTTACCTAGTTGGACTATTTGTCCCATGTAAACGTACTTGTCAACAACTTCGAGCATAGTGCTCCTAACAACTACCGGCATAGGTGTGACATGGATATTAAACATGATCTTTGTTTTGTCCATGTTCATCTTAAGACCTATCCGTTGGGAGACACCATTGAGGTCATTGAGCATAGTGCTAAGGTCCTCCAGCGATTCTGCCATAAGGATTTTATCGTCGGCAAATCGAAGGTAAGTGATGTACTCGCCATTGATGTTAATACCGTATCCTTTCCAGTCCAGTAGCTTGAAAACGTCTTCCAACGCAGCGGTGAAGAGTTTCGGGGATATAACGTTACCCTGTCTTACACCTCTCTGCAGTTGGATAGGTTTCGAGCTCTGGGTCTGTACTCGGATAGCCATCGTAGCCCTACTGTACAAACACTTCAGCACTTCGATATACCGACAGTCAACTTGGCACCGCTGAAGGGACTGTAGCACCGCCCAAATTTCGACGGAATCAAAGGCTTTCTCATAGTCCACATACGCCAGGCAAAGTGGCAGATTGTACTCTTCGGTCTTCTGTACAATCTGCCGCAGGGTATGTATGTGGTCTATGGTACTGAAGCCTTTTCGGAAACCGGCTTTTCGGGAGGCTGGAAGTCGTCGAATCTGCGTGCAAGACGATTTGTAATGACTCTCGAAAACAGCACGTAGACGCGGCTCAGAAGGGAAATCGGTCTGTAGTTCTTCAAGAGAGCGTTGTCGCCTTTCTTAAAGAACAAGACCACCGCACTTCTGCTCCACGCCTCCGGAGTAGTGCTACCATGGAGGACGGAATTGAAGAGCTTCTGAAGGACTTCAAGTACCGGTGTTCCACCCGCTTACAGAAGCTCCGCTGTAATTCCATCCTCGCCTGGGGCCCTGCCGTTTTTAAGGTCCTGGAGAGCCATTCTAATCTCGCTCAGACTGACGTCCGGGATATCATCGGAATAGTGTCGGGTAAGACTTGCTCTTGGATCGTTACTCACACTTGCGTGTGGCTCCAACGATGATGTGTACAGCTGCCCATAGAACCTCTCAATCTCACTCAAAATCTCAGGTGTCTCGGAAACGATGCTGCGACACTCAGTCTTCAGCTTTGACAGTTGGCTCTTTCTGGCAGACAGATCTCTGGCAGTCTTTGGAGCCCTGGTTCCGCTCGATCGCTTCTTTAATACGAGCAGTATTAAAGTTGCTTAAGTCTCGCCGCACGCATTTGGAGATCTGTCTGTTCAGTTGCCTGTATGCTGTCAAATCTGTTAACGATTGCAGCCTCATCTCCCGTCAACAGCCATGAGATTAAGAGTGTGATCGGAGAGTTTTTGTGTTCTTCTGCGGCGGGTCTTGCAGAACTTAGCTCCGACCGCATGGACAGTTTCCACGAGCTTATCATTCATATCGTCCACTGCATTGCAATCTTCTAGGCACTGAAAGCGGTTACGTAACTCGAGCTGAAAAGTCTCGGGATTCTGGATTAGAGCACGAGGGGGACGGAGCGTTGACTTCATTAGACGAGACCTCTCCAACTTAACGTTTAGGTTCAGTGTGCCTCTAACCATGCGGTGATCGCTGCCGATTTTCACCCTGGCGACCACCGAGACATCACTGAACAGTTGGCGTCTAGTCGTCATAATAAAGTCAATCTCATTTTTTGTCGAACCGTCGGGACTCGACCAGGTCCACTTCCTGTGGGGCCGCTTATGGAAGAAAGAATTCATCATAAAGAGTCCCTCTTTCTCCATAAAGTCAGCCAGCTGCTGGCCCCTACGGTTCCGTTGCCCTACTCCAAATTTCTCTAACTTCAGCTCAACGTCTTCTCTTGTGGCTAGTTTTCGTTGAAGTTTCCCATCAACACTGTGTAGTGGGTTTTGGAGGAATGCATGGCTCTAGAAATATCCTCATACATCTACTCCACCTCCTCATCGGGATGTGCCGAGGTTGGTGCGTAGACCCGTATGATCTTCAGCGAATACCGTTTGGTGATTCTGAGTATCAGGAACGCGACCCTCGTCGACACACTCCCAATCTTTACAACGTTGTTGACGAGAAACTTGTGGACGATAAAAGGAGGTGTCCGCCTCCTTGGGACAGATGGTCGCCCTCCCGGTGATAGAACAAGTTGCCGGACTCGAGGATTACCGTGTCCTCCCCCCTCTCTTCGGACCTCAGATAATCCAATAATATGCCAGCGCAACTTGTCTACCTTCCAGCTCCAGTATCTTCTCTTCAGTCCTCAGGGTGCGTGCGTTATACGTTGCCAGGTCGAGTCGTCGTAGGTGGCAACCGAATCTCCACCGGAGATTCTTAGCACCCCCTGCCCCGCCGTTACCATGGTCGCCACCGTAGCCAGGAATAGCGGGGCCGCCGGGGACTGGGGGCCGTTTATTTGCGTCATTGCTCATGGGGGGATATTTGCCATAGTTGCCACGCTTGGCGAGCGGGTTGGCAACCGCAATTTTTTATTATGTTGTTGTTGTTATTAGGAAGATGCTGCTGCCCATCTCCTTTCTGTGTCCCTCTGTCGCCTCTTACGACACCCACGGGAAGATATGGGGTAGTGGATATTCTCAACCGCCACTACACGGCAAAAAAAATCTTTAGAACACCGCATCTCAATCGATCAAGACGTTCAAATGTTATGAAATGTTTACATACTTACACACACACACACACACACGCACGCACGCACGCGCACGCACACACGCACGCACGCACGCACGCATACATACATTCGTACGGACGTCCACGTGAAATTAGAATAGCTTCCTGGGATCTCAAAACGTCTATATCTGATGAAAACTCGTCTAGAAAATCGGGGTAAAACCAATAACTTCCCTATTTTTGAAAATTTTCAATTTTCTTAACGGAAAGTTTAAAAAAAAATCAAATTACAATAATATTTCAAAAGTATTATCTTAAAACTTTCCAAATAAAATTAAGGGTTGAGACATAAGTTTACGCATGTATTCATGTTTTAAAATGGAATGGAATAATATTACTAACATTTTATAAATTAACTAGCTGTGCGGCGCATGCGTTGAAATGTCTTTTTCTATAACGTGGGCGCGCGCTCAACAACTCACCAAAGTTTGACTTAATATGTTGTAGAAACACATTTCGAAGACATATCATTTGCTTTTTCCGCCTGACCTGTCTCTAGCTATTTATATGTCATGGTTGAATCACATAAAATACCATGTGATGTAATAAGCATGTATAATGCGATGAATATAATGTATTTATTTTGTTACAGGTTGTTCATTTAGGAGAAAACAACATTAATTAGTCCTGGAGAGAAGCCCTAATTTAAGATTGCATTTTATTTCCAATTGTGTGAAGGAGTGATATTTTACAAATTCATTAAAATGGATCCGATGAAGCATAAAAAATAAAGGCTTTTTCGAAAGGAACTTATAGTATTTTTTTTTTTTTACTTTACACAATTCATATTCTGTAATCACTAATCATGCAATAACAGGTAGTTACTGTAAAATGTTTAATGATTGAGTTAGAAAAGAAAACAAGTTCATATAGAATATTTATTTACATACCATTGGCTTCAAAATATCACATATTGAAAATTTTTAGCATTTACATATCACTTTCATACTTAAAGCATATATATAAAGTAACTTTTATATAAAGTACATAATATGGTAAAAAATATTTAAGTCATTGTTTAAGTACTACGAGTCAAGTAAAATTTTATAACATATTTGTGTACAATAAAAATTAAATTAGTCTAACATTGGTCTCTCAGCACTGAACCATAAATTATTTAAATATAAAAACTGAATAAAATATAATCTGAAAAAAAAAAGAAATTAACTATCAAATTTGACTATGATTTAACATTAGTTCTTATTAAAAAACTTATGATCCTTTAAAATCTTTGCTTCCACTTCCTCGAGTTTAGTGTGAGCATCCGCGATATCCTTTTTAATTGCTTCTATTAAGTCATTCAACGAACTAAAGTTTTTCTCTGGTCGCAAGTATCCAACAATACATATTTTCAAATTGGACCCATAGAAGTCTTTATCAAATGTATGCATTACGTGAGTCTCCTGCAATAAAACAGTGAAGAATTTTAAGCGAGCTTTTCTCAGTCCTTACATATTTGTTTATATTAATAATTGCATAATATTAATTGACGGAAAACCAAAAATATTTTAACCCTTTCTAGTATTAGACGATAATAAATAAACAAAATAGAGATTAAGAATTTTACTTCAGAATTAAAAATATTTTTGTTAGATTAAATTCATACGATTTTATGAATATTTTTCATACAGTACTCGTTCGAAGAAGCGTGGCATAAGATATTCGGGACTATAGTTCATAAAAGATAGCTTGATCTCTGCGACAGCTGTCAGTAAAAATCACGCCTATGAAGTCCTGAATTTCTTAGTAATAGAGACAGTACCTGTCAATGTCATACTTTATGGGCATGCACTAATTAGGTCGGCATGCCCATAAAGTATGACATTGACAGGTACTGTCTGTACTCTGTACTACTAAGAAATTCAGGACTTCATAGGCGTGATTTTTACTGACAGCTGTCGCAGAGATCAAGCTATCTTTTAAGAACTATATGTTTTAACGAGGCAAAGTGTCTCACGTCCTTCCGCTTCCGCAGCAACTATATCTAACCCGCTTTTGGCATGTATGAACAATGAACATACGATCATTGTTCATACATGCCGGTTCTCGTTCGCAAATGAAGATAGTTTTCAATTTTAACAAATAATATTTTATAGGTAGCTTTCTTAAAAAATGACTAATATTATTAACCACAAATCTCATCGTTACTGAAATATGTCATCTTTATAGCTATGAAAAAAAAAACAACATTGTGACAGAATTTATTAGAAGAGGTGATTAGTGGCAAGAACGACTTAACACTAACCACTTCGTACGCCAGAATTCCAGAAAGCAGCAACGCAGCGAAAACCTTAAGGCGACACCGCGAAAAAATTCACTTCCTTTCATCGAATAGTATAGGACTATGACACCACTTACGAAAGTGAAATTTTGATATAGGTAAATTCATGTCTTTATCTTGAATTTGCTTGTCCAAAAACACGATTGTATAATTTTGACTCGATCATAATTATTTCCGAAAATAACTCTAAAAAATTACTATAGTTGAAATTACTTAATCTATATCCTTGGGAATCACTCAAATATATTCATAACATCAATATTCATAATTTACTTGCTCATTATTTTGATTACTTAAATCAATAGTTTTTAAAAAAATATTTTAAGATTCTGACTTTCTATGCAGTTTTAATCGCCGCGGGCGCTACGCAATTTTAGACCTTAGAAAAAGACGGCGTTTTTTAAGTGTTTATAGAAATTATGTTTTCAGTCGGATCAGTAGGGCGATAGCCCGGAGCCACTTTTTCGATGTGTCGTCTAACTACCGTCTTACACAGATAATTAGTGATACAGCGAAGTATAAGAATATGAGTGAGCTGTATCAGCTGCTAGCCTCATTCAAAGATTGTGGAGCGAGATATGATCGTGTTGATTGAAGATTTGTTAAGTTTTAGTGATAGAAATTTGAGAAAAAGAATACCTGTTTTTTTAACGATTATGGATATAAATATATAAATGGTGATTCATTTGTCTTTATTTGATAAATGTTCCTTTAGTGCTTTCTTGTTTTATTAAGATCCTCTTTAAAGCATAAAAATTGATATAATTGATAGCTATGAATATTATCAGGAGTTGCAAACCATTTTACGTTTTAATTTCATAAAAATAAAATCGCAATGGTCAACAGATACCTAATATTAAAAAAATTATCAATTTTGGGTTTCGAATCGTTTGGCAGGAATTTGAGGAAATAAGGTGTTTTATTTGGTAGAGGTTTGGTTTACGATTATAATAATACCACTCACATTAAAAGATAATGCACCGTTATAGAAAAATAAATAAAAACTACTATAACACATTTTAATGCCCAAATGCAATATTACTGTGAAAGCTGGATAGCATACAGAATTTTATGTAAGTGCAACAAGCACGTAAGACTAGTGTTACATTATTCTACTGTCTGTACTCTCTGTCAAGTGTCAAATCGCATGACTATGGAGTGTAGAGGTAAGGAGTACAGACTCTGTTTAAACAAGTGTCCGTAGGAAAGCGCTAAATAGGTGGCGCCACTGTAGCTACAATATAAATTTTAAAGTACTTTTTATTCTATTTTTTATTGCATAACAGACTTTCACCATAATTCTTTTTACAATAATTATTTTATTGCTTCCAAAATTTTTATTTTAAAAATCACAACGTATTTTACGGCGATTTATCATACCTTGCAGCTACCCGAGCGCTGTTCTGGATAGTTTTTGAACTGTTATTTACTGCTTACAGAAGGACACATTTTCAACTATTCTATGGGAGATTGTCCTCCTTACCTCTATACTCAACAATCCGCCGTTGATTGCTCTTCTTGCGTGAATAAGTGATCTCCAGTGTATTATTACAGCTTTTATCGACGACTGTTGAAATGACCGGCATGTTAGTAGTGAAAACTCGATGTCTGATCACAAACACATTAAGTTTGTGATTGAACCTGGTGCAGTGGGCTGTTGACTCCTTTAAACCACTTAAAACGAGCAGGAGGATGGAATAATACCCATCCAACTACAGAGGGGTATCGATATCCTTCTTCCCTATCTGGTGAAATTCTTCAGAGCAAGTTTTGGATGGGGATATATTCCAGAAAGATGGACAATTGGCAAAGTTTAGAACTTAGGCTGGTAGGCAAGTACTTCGCTTTAACAAAGTCTTTTAGACCTATAAGCCTATCTTAATTTCTTCTTAAGACATTGGAAAAGGATATATTTAGATATATAAGGGATGTAGCTCTAACTACGAGGCCTGGTTACGCGGAAATGATTTATGTATTTTTAATTTTGTTCGAGGGTATATTGCAGCCAAGTGTTTGTCCTTCCTATAACCTCATATCCCTTCCGTACACACTGAAGGGGAAGGGGGGGGGGTCTAAAAGGTGACGCGATTCTTTCGACCAATAAAACTCGCACCCCACCGAGACGAATTGGGAAAACCGAGCCAATAAATGTTCGCACGCTGCCCTAGAGCGTCCTCTTGCTTCGCACCGCTAGTCTAAACCGCATACTCTGGGGCAGTCGCACCCCAGAAGTAACCGCCTCACATAGTGTGAGATATCGTCGCGCACCGCCTCTTGCTTCGCACCGCTAGCCTGGATCGCATCTCTGGGGCGCCCCAGAAGAAACCACCTCACGTCACGCCAGCTCCTATTTTCAATGCACCACCGCAACAGAAGCGTTGTCCGCAGCATCACAATCACACCCCGGTAAGTGTGTCTCCCGTAATTTTGCTACTTGAGCCTTTTGTTTATTAGCTAACCCGCCCCATTTTTTGTTTCTCCTTATTGGCTCAAGTAGAACTCCATCCCAACCTTGGCAAAGCAATAGATTTGGAAGAGGGAGTGCATTGTCCAAGGTTGTCGCGTGCCACCTCCGCCATCTTGTTGAGGCATAAGAAGCCAACCGCGTATAGTCCACCTAGTACAACATCTCGCACAATAGGATCAAGGCTCGACCTGGGAATCGAACTCGGGAACTCCTAGGCCCGCCGCTCAACCAAGGCCCATACATTACAACCAGCCTACGGACACAGCCCTGATCGGTGTCATTGACAGGGTCGAAAAAGCACTAGAGAATAATTAAATAGCTCTTTGTGCCTTTCTAGATATTGAGCGCGCCTTCGACAGTACTGTTGTCTGCTTCACATCACTGCTGATTGGGGGCCTGACATCTAAAAACGTTGACCCCCAAAACCATCAGCTGGGTGAAGTCGATGCTCTCAAACAGAGAGGTAAAAATAGCGCTGTTTCAAACTTCGATTGAGGTTGCAACTACAAGAGGCTGCCCACAAGGAGGTGTTTTGTCACCCCTTCTTTGGACTTTTGCGATTGACCAACTATTGTAGAAGTTGACAGACCTACGCATTGACACACTGGGTTATGATGATGAACTTTACACACACACACACACACACACACACACACACATACACACACACACACACACACACACACACACACACCTTTACGCACAGTTCTTGAAACTTATGGCTTAAGAGTTAGACTGTTGCTCGAATACAGAAAATTTACAGACTAGTATATAAGATCCACGTACAGGACACATTTTTTTTTAGAGATACCTGCCATATGCTGAAACTGGTGCATAATGCTTTGGAGTTTTACAAATATTTTATTTTATCCAAACTGTACTAAATTTACCTCTATTTGAAGACGTTGATATTTTCGAAATTTTCAACTCAAAAACATTGAAAGTGCTTAAACGCACATTTGATAATCTGGTATTAGGCCCAAACGCTTCACTTACTTATTTATCACTACACAAAATTAGTCAAGAGCATATAAAATTTTTATTTTCAAACAGAAGTCATGGTGGTCATTATGATAATCCCTTCGCAAAATAATTTAAAGCTATTTATAAAAAATTGCTAATACCATTGACTTATATATTACTAGCGTAAGGACCGGGCCGACCGAACAGTTAAAACGGACCAGTGTGCTGGACCTAAAATTACAGTTTAGGGCCAACGCGAATAGGTCAACAGTAGTGCGCGCGCAGGACAGATTTGCCTGTCATAAATATGTCTAATTGCGTGGTAAAAGAATGCAAAAATTAGGAAACAAAGATTTAAAAAAATGGATATCGTAACATCGGTAAATAACCTAATATTAATTTTATTATAATTAAATTATTATATAAACGCATTTTTAAAGTTTTATTTTACAGTTACTTTAGTTACGTTACCAAGATTAGGCCAGCGCTGGATTCAGACCCTCAAAAATATTGTACATGGAAATTAAAATGATACTATTTAAAAAAAATTATATCACTTTAATGTTTCTTTTTTCCCATGTGCCGGGATTTTGGCGTCACGCGTCTTGTTTATCTATACGTTTCGTTTTTTAACGGTTTTATTTTTATTTCTGTTTAATTTTTGTCTAAAGAACTTAGTGCAAGTTAAATTT